GTTTGGGTGTCTTCAGATGTCCAGGTGTATGGGGAGATTCACTACTCCAAATTATCTCTTTTACAACACCTGTGTTTGCCAAGGACATTGGTGCTGAGTTGAGAAAAATGCCTGTAGTGGCAGACAGGTGCTGAAGAGTCATATCTGAATAGTTTTATAATATTGATGTGGAGGAGATCCTACAATTAGTTTAAAAAGCAAACTAGTTTGATGGCATCGTGCACATACAAAAAGGAATTCCACACACACATCCATTTTCATATCCAAAAATATCTAGTGCCATTTTAATGGGAAAATTTTTCAATCTAAAACCAGAAACAAGTCAAGGATGTCCTTTTTCACCACTCTTGTTCAACATAGAACTCAAGACATTAATAAGAGCAATTAGGCAAGAAAAAGAAAAGAGATATGCACAGGAAAGGAAGAATTTAAATTATTATTTGCAGATGACACAATCTTCTGCATAGATGATCCCAAAAATCCACCAAAAGACTCAAAATTAATAACCAGATTCAATAATATAGTAGAATACAAAATTAACCCGCAAAAATCAATAGTGTTCCTATACATGAATAATGAACCCACTGAGAAGGAAGTTAGGGAAAAATGTTGTTCACAGTATCTCCAAGAAAAATTAAATACCTAGGAATTAATCTAAGTAAGGAAGTGACAGACCTCTACAATGGAAACTACAGTGCTATGAAAAATCAAAGAGGACATCAGATAATGGAAAGATATCCCCTGTTACTCTAGTCTGATATCTAGATAGGTGAAACAAATATAGTCAAACTTCCAAAGCTGATAAACAGATTTAATGCAATCCCAACAAAATTCCAACAGCATTCTTCTCAGAAGTGGGGAAAACAGTCACTAAATTCATACGGGACCAGAAGAGACTCAGAATAGCAAGAGCAGTTCTGGGGGACAAGATAAAGTGGGAGGCATCACAATCCTGGACTTGAAGTCGTATTACAAAGCTACAGTGATTAAAAAAAATCAGCATGCAAGCACAAAACCAGACATGAATGTTGTAGACAAAGTTAGATAAAAATATTATAGGCGGTCAAACAGGGCTAGGTCCTCAAGGTCCTTGAGGAAATCAGTACAAAAGATGAGAATACATCAAAACTGTAGCTGGAGGTGCATCTTAAGAAAGTTAAAATCATAATGGCCAGTATCGGGTCCTGACCTAGATCCCCAATCTCCCAAACAAGTGTACGGCAAAGGCTTAAATAAAATGAGACAAGTGATTTTAGGGCTCCAGGAGAATCAAAACCCTTTAGCTGAGCTCGAGACTCTGAGGGCTACGACAAAGACTTCTCTGGACTGCCCATTTTTATTACGTCCAACAACAAGGGGCAGGGAAACTGAGGAAAGTGCAGGCAATGAGCCGGACCTTGGGAGTCACTTCAAGGACATCTCCAAGTAATGAATCGTCTTAATAGAACCGTCTTCATGATGACATGGTAGAAGTGAGACTGTAGGAGTAATTCCTGCAGTTGCAGTCTCTATCTACTTAGTGGATGTTTGAGCCAAGTGTCTGCAGCTGTGGTCTTACCTTGCCCTTTGAGGTATCTCTGGCCTCAGAGGCCACTGCAGTCCTCAGCCAGGACCAGTGATTCATAGAGGCTCCCATCGCCAGGCAAGGGGCCGAGGCCTAGGACAGACTCACAGATAAACATAGAAAACCAATTAGTTAATTTCAGATCCTGCTCAGAGCTGCTTCATAGTGGTCTCCAACAGGCCAGATTTACATACTTCCCTAGGGGATAAACAGAAATTTGAGATTAATTTCCCATACAATAAGCCAGTATCTTTTTAGAGATAGGCCATCTTCTCCCACTCACTAAAACTAAGACTACTAGGGGCTGGAGATTTAGCTCAGTGGCATAAAGCGCCTGCCTTGCAAGCAGGCAGTCATGAGTTCAATCCCTGGTACCAATAAAAAGGAAAAAGACAAAAAAAAAAAAAAAAAACCCTAAGGCTACTAAAACTTAAAACTAGTCAGGTTCTGTCTGTAGTCTCAGCATTTAGGGAGCTGAGGCAAGAGAATCACCACAAGTTTGAGATCAACCTGGGCTATGTAGTGAGTTCGTCTCCATTACATAACAAGGCCCTATCAAAAAGACACTAAGACTAAAGACAAGACTAGATTATCCACCATGGTTAATAATGAAATCCATATGCCCTTGCTACAATTGGATCAATATCAGCCAAGCGGTGAGGCAAGATTGTTGCAAATTCAAGACCAGGTTGGGTTACAAAATGAGCTCAAGGTCAGCCTAAACTGCATAGCAAGACTCTGTCTCAAAAAGACAATAAGTAAATAAATAAAATAGCCAACTGGTTATACTGGTAAATCTTATTAGGTTGACTGTAGTTTATCAGTTTATAGTTTTAGCCATGTTGTACCCACCTTGTGATTTTGCTCCATAAAACTTTCTCAAAGAAGTGGGATCATTGGCAGCCCATTCAGGACCCCTCCTGTCTCTCAGGAGCTATTCCTATTCCTTAGTAAATTTTCCTACTTTTGACCTCCCTTCTTCCTTTGTATTCATTCTTTGACTTTGGGGAACATGAACTCCATGGATCTGACCTTTAGCAGATTGTGAATTACATTTCTACCCTATATCATGAAAATCAGTGAAGCAGAATAAAGGAAGCAGAAATATTTACAAGTACATTCTATTATTTGATCTTTGACAAAGATTTTACCTTTCCATGACAAGATTTAAAAAAATAGGAAGGTCGGGCATAGTGGCACACGCTTATAATCCCAGCACTTGAGAGACTGAGGCAGGACAATGGTTGCGAGTTCAAAACCAGCCTGGGCTACAAAGTGAGCTCAAAATCAGCCTCAACTGCGTAGTTAGACCCTGTCTCAAATAAGATGAAAAAACAAGGAGAATGTGGTAATTTTTAAAAAGATTTATGTGTTCAATTAAAGAATTCATTCTGGCCGGGCATGGTGGCACAGATCTGTAATCATAGTACTCAGAAGGCTGAGGCAGGAGGATTGCTACAGATTCGAGACCAGCCTGGGCTACAAGGTGAGCTCAAGGCCAACCTGAACTGCATAGAAAGATATTGTCTCAAAAAGACCAAAAAAAAAAAAAAATCATCCTTATTCTGGAATTCAGATATTCAAATTGTTAAAATAGATATCAAGATAATGTTTTTAGCTGAGTGTAGAGGAACATTCCTATAATCCCAGCACTTGGTGAGGTGGGGCTGGAGGACTAAACAAAAGGATTACAAAATTCAAACTCAGTGAGCAGTTTAGCAAGACCCTGCCTCAAACCAAAAAATTTAAAAAGGGCTGGGGATGTACCTCAGTGCAAAGACTCTAGAGTCAATCCTCAGTAAGGATAATTTTCTTTTATGAAATGATTGGTAGTCATTATTTTTAATTTTATCTTATTGATTTGTAAAGTCCATTCCTGTAGCAGATAAGAAATTTAAACTCCACAGCTAATCATGTAGGCTTTAAAATTACTCCAGTCTGAAGTGCTGTGATACCTTCGTTCATTAGTTTTAAATATTGAGGATCTCAGTGGAATACTATCTTAATCTGCTACCCACTGAAGTATTATCTTCATCTTTTCAGCTTACCATAATAAAATATAATCGACAGGATGGCTTAAACAACAAAATTTTTATTTTACTAGAGTTCCTGAAGCGGAAAACCTGCGATCTAGGCGCCAGCAGGGTTAGGTCCAGGGAAGGGTTCTCTTCCGTGCTTGCACGTGGCTGCCCACCTTCTATGACCTCACATGCCACAGGGAAGGGAAAAAGCTCTACGGTGCCTCTTCTAACCAGGCACAAACACCATCCAAAGGGCCCCACCCTCATGACTGCACCGAAAACTAATTGTCTTTTGAAGGCCCCACATCCAAACTCTGGCCTTAGGAGTCAGGATTTCAACGTATGAACTTGGAGGGAACTCAAATAGTTCTTAACGTGTGTTATTATAGTATCAGCAGGATGTGAGGCCAGAGACTCAAGGGGATTCAGTTTCTTTCTTGGTGAAACTACTCCTATGTTTCAAAAACCAAGGCAAAACAAGGTGAAGAACATTATTATAAACTCAGGGTTTGTGGTGTCAAACACAGGGCACAGCCATGGAAACCCTGCAGTTAGCAGGGAGTCCTCTTCTTAGCGATGCTGGCTAAAGCGATCTGGAACAGCCCGACTGGCAAACTCAAGCTTGTGAGTGAAGATTGCCTTTTACATTTCCAATAGTTGGCAAAAAAAATCAGGAGTATTTTGTGACATCTGAAAATGACATGAAATTCACATTTCAGTGTCCTTAGGGCAGCTCGTTGGAACCAAGCCACTCACTCATTTTCGTGTTGTCATGCTGCTTGCACACTACAGCAGCAGAGTTGGGTAGTCCCATTGGAGCTGAAAATATTTAATGTCTGCCCCTTCACAGGAAAAAGTTTGCAGGTCTCATCTGCAGGCAAAGCTGGCCAGTGACTTACTTTGCCTATTCTCAAGCCCAAATTGTAGCTTTTAAGCTAAAATTTTTATGCCATTTTAGCAAGATGCTAAACCATATCCATCAACACAAGAAAAAATAGATGCCAAAGCCCCAGCCCAACATAACCTGAGGTAGAGAGAGTCCACTTCAAATTTTCTAATGTCTGACTGTTCCAAGGACAAACCAAAACAGAAAGACAGGTGTTCATCTTAGAGGATGGAAGAAAAAAGAGGGATTGCAATTCACTGCTCTTTTTATCCCTTGGAAAGTTTGACCAATATCAGGTATAGTCCACAGTCCTGGGACTGGATCAATTTAGTCGATTCATTTGAAATCTGTACTTTTTGATTGACTCATCTGTTAGGTCAAAAAAGGAAAGATTGGGAGCTATGAATGGTTTCCTTTCTAAAATTTAACCTTAATCATTGAAAATTAGTGGCATTATTTTCGTATCAGGCCAGTGCCTTTATTTCTGACCTGCTTTTTTTTAATTTGTTGCTGCCCCTTGCACACCAAGGTGATTTTAAAGGATGTGGACTCCCTTCTCTATGTGGACACCGACGTTCTTTTTCTGAGACCTGTGGATGACATCTGGAAGCTTCTGAGGCAGTTTAATTCTACACAGCTTGCAGCCATGGCCCCCGAGCACGAAATCCCAAAGATCGGCTGGTACAGTCGCTTTGCCCGGCATCCTTTCTATGGCTCTGCAGGAGTTAACTCAGGAGTCATGTTAATGAATTTAACTCGGATAAGGAGCACCCAGTTCAAGGTAATGAAATGCTTTAAATCCTTGTGTAAGTGCTTTCAACAGCGATACGGCTAGAGTGTTGATGTGTATAAATTTAGAGAATGCAGTGGAGGTCTGTATGTGAGGAGGGAAGGACCTGAGGGGACAACATTTGCAAAGTTATGGAATATTCATTTGTTCAAGAAAACCCCAGATGGTTATGCAATTTAAAGTTTTGGAGAGTTACCATTTAGGAATATTACATGGCATTTCTGAATTCCAAAATGTTTTAACTCTGTGAATCTCTTAAGTCTTCAAATACCATGTAAAATTTCTTGGAAGTACTTTAGAAATGTATTTATGTAAGTACACAAATATTGGTACAAGGACATTCATGGGTCTCATTTTTTACTCCAGCAAAGAAATGGAAAGATCCTGAAAGAACATCAGTTCATAGTAAAAATAAGCTAGTCATGGTTGGAGTGTAGCTCAGTGGCTTAGTGTTTCACTAGACTACACAAGGCCCTAGTTTGATCTACAGGAACATAAAAAAATAAACAATAAAGATTAATATGTTAATCTGTAAGTGAGATAATAAGATCTCAAAAATATTTTAATAAGAAAAGTTTACAGCTGGGTGTGGTGATACATACCTTGTAATCCTACTAGCACTTGAAAGGCTGACACAGGAGGATCATGAATATGAGGCCAGACCATGAATATGGGCTATATAGTGAGATCCTGTCTCAAAGCCAAAAAAAAGTATGTGAAGCAAGTATATGATGCAGTAATGTGCTCCCTTTTGTGTTATAGAAATCTCCAGAGGAGTACCTACAAGACAATTAATTGTTCATTCTAGATGCTTTTGGGGAAATTGAGAATGAGATTTAGAGGAAGATGGAGGAAGAAATACTTTTGTTTTTTAACTTGTTATGTTTATATACTGATTGAATACTTAAGTCTATCAATAGATCACTTTTTTTTTTTTTAGGTAGGGTTTCACTATATGGTTCAGAGGCCTTGAACTCACTTTGTAGCCCAGGCTGGCCTCAGACTTGCAGGGATCCTCCTGCCTCAGCCTCCCGAGTGCTGGAATTACAGATATGCACCACCACTCCCAGCCACTTTTATTTTTAAGTAATTCATTGTTTTAAGACAAGGAAATATGTTTTCCCCTAAGATATCTTAATCCTGCTCTCTATGTTTTATCTCTTCACTTTCTAGATAAGAAATAAATTTAACAAAGAAGTTATTTTGGGGCATAGTTTTCTGAGTAGAAACTATAGGTTCAACCACTAATTTGCATTCATCCAGCATCCATAGATAGGCATACCCAGAAAAATTCTTCAGCCCGCAACCCTAATGTTTGCTTTGTCCTATGCACCAAAGGAGCAGGACCAGCTCCTCTTCTGGAAGACAAGGAAACCAGTCCCCTTCCCTGCTTCTCAGTAGACAGGAGGCACTTGCTGTACTTTGGCTGTGCTGATGGTTTTCTCTTTTGCAGAACAGCATGGGTCCAACAGGCTTGGCTTGGGAGGACATGCTGTACCCTCTGTACCAGAAGTACAAGAATGCCATCACGTGGGGAGACCAGGATTTATTAAATATTATTTTTTACTTCAACCCAGGTAGGTTTTCTTTCCAGAATGCCATTTGTGTGGGAGTACGCCCACCTCATTGCACAGAGCACATTCCAGACTTGGGCTACTATTGACGGGCCTCAGTGACACACAGAGGCCCTGTGTTCTGCTGCCCCCGTGCCCTTTTATCCACAGCCCTGGGTATCTGATGGAGGCGGCTCCTTGGCTACTGACACAAAAGGCCAAATGTTGAAACCTCCAACACTGGGCTCCATTTTTTGGAGACTATTTTTTCAATTTTGCCATACTATTCTTCCAAGAAGTAGAGTCAAAATTGATATAAGGCACAAACTCAATGCAAATAGTACAATCTAGGGGTGAGACCCTTCATAGCCTAGACAATTGCCAAATTGAAGGAAATTGGTTCACAGGGTCCTTGGAGTCAAGTTACTGGGACAGGGCTAGAGAAACCTAGAATAAAGAGCTAGGTCTTCAAATCCCTTTTTCTTTCTATCTAGAACAAAAGGAGTGTTTTTATTGCTAAGCTGGTGGTTTGGTAAGGCTGAAGGAGGGCAGGAGATGAAAAGTTCTGGTCTATGCTTTCATATTAATACCTGAAGCTAAGAAAACTTCCTCCTTAGCTAAAACCTTATTTAATATCATTAAAATAGAAACCATGTTTTTCTCCTTGAGAAAAATCTTTAGAGAGAGAAAAAAAGTAATCCTTACTCTATTCAGACTTTTCTTTTGTCTTTAAAAGTGAGAGACTCCTGTTGATTAAAGATTTCTGCCTGCAGTGGCATGTCACCCTTGAAGTATCTATTATGGACCTTTGAAAAAACGCATACACAAAAATTCTGCTATAATTATACACCTAATTTCGTGTGTCTCTGGATCAAAAGGAAAAGAGGCAGGTTGATACCAAGTTTTTGGGAAAGACTCTCAACACTAATTAAGTAGACAAAGAGAATGTCTGAGATGTTCATTTTGGTGTATTTTCATCTCTTTTCTTCTGACAGTAACAAGGAATTTAGTCTGCGCCTCCTCCTTTTCTTCTTAAGCAAATTTCACCATTTTTCTAAGTATAAGTATATTGGTTAGGATCCTTGGCTGCAAAAGTGAGGGAACTGTGTTAGTCTAAGCACAAAGGATGCCTTTTAAATAAGCAAACAAGTGGAGAATGGCAAGCGAGTGGGATTTACTTCCCACTGAAGATGTTTGTTTCTCTCTTTGGAGACTGTGGTTCTCTGCCCACTAGGTCTAGAAGCACAGTGTTGAGGTTTCTACCACTAGTCCAGCCACAAAGAACAACCAGTTCCCACATTCCCAGGGGAGAAGTACAGTTCCAGCAAAGCTCAGCTAGGCCAGGAGCACGTGCTCAGAAATAATGGCTGATGCTTATTATTTACTAAGTGGCAGCTACCAGTCTAATCATTCTTTTATTTAGTCCTCATAATGACCTTGAGAATATCTCCACTTTACAGACAGAGAAACCAAGACAAAGAGTTAAATAATTTGCAGTACAGCTAATGAGTGTTGAAGCAGGGTTATAAATCCAGAACATTCCACCTCCTGCCCAAATTGGGGAACAGGGAACTTAGAGATGAAAAGGGGGATTCCAGAGAGCCAGGTAGGTACCTGGTTGTGTAGCTTTCCGCTACAGTCCTTCTTTCTTTTTAATGTTGCATTTTTCTCTCTGTTGTATAGCTAAAGCTACCTGATATAAGCCTTGCCATCCATATTCCCAGACTGAGGCATTCAAAAGATTCGCACGGTTGCTTACTCAGAAATCCTCTTAGGCTGTTGCAGATTATTGGAGGATGACATTATCAGTGAGTAAATAATGCTCAGAGGCCTTCTGGGGCAGCTTTACAATTAGACACAAGCCCTTGCCTGTGATTGGGGCTGACCTCTGCTGAGTTTGATGGCTTCTGCACCTACTAGGTAAAATATATTCTAAAATAATTATATGGTTGTAACAAGCAAGTAACCAAATTTTAGATCAGCTTTTGGTAAACTTACTAATTGTTGTTTGTATGGTTATATTTGATTTTCCTATTTCACACTTTATCCAGGTAGTTTATTAAATGTGTAATCTTTGGAACTGAAAAGCCAGTGATACCATCTCATTTTAAAGTTTTTCTTCATTTATATTTTTTGAGCACTTTTTGTAACCCAGGGCCACCTATATTTGAAAAGAAAAAAAAGAAGATTTGTCACCTTTATCCTTGGCAAGGAGAGCGGGAGTCAATATTGGCTGGCACACAGGACATAAACATGTTTATTGTTATGATTCCTTGGGTTGCTATGGATGAAGCAATGTGCTTAAAACCTGCAGCACATGTCTGGAATGTTATTATTAGTCTTCTGTAGCCACTAACACTGCTTCATAAAATGTGTTTAAAAGTCATTAACTAAAAAATGTTTTAAAACTCTTGCTATAATTAGGTAGTAAATGCGTGTGGGTATACAACTGCAATGCTAGGCGACAGACAGACTCAAGAGGAGACAGGAAAAGCCTATGAGAGCTGTGCAAGTAGCTTGTCCTGTGGGATATTTCTGGGAAGGCAACCCAGGGAATCTCACCCAAGCTAAAATTCTGAGCTCACATTTTGACAGGTGAGATTGAATGAAGATCAGAGTTCTATAAAAGGGGTAAATCTAACAAGAGCCCAGAAAGAACTCTCTCTAGGAAGATATATTGGCATGAATGTGCTTAGGTTTCAGGGATCCAAATTCCATTCAGACCAGCTAAGCGAGATTAGATAGAAGAGTCTAGGATCACACATGACCAATCAGGCCAAGCCAACCTTTGTGACAATTGGTCATGGGAAGGTGCTCAGGACTAAAGCAATTTCTTCAGCCTTCAGAGACATCATGTTCTATCTTCCTTGCTTCTCTGAATGACTGATTCCATTGTCTCTCTCAGCATTCTCAGCCTTTGCCCAAGACCTAGCCCAATTATCAGTCCCAAGTCAATACAACTGTGCAAGTCCATAACCAATAATAATAGTGCACTGATGTTTCCTAATTCATATTCTTGGCAAGAGAAAGACAGACCCATTGGCCCAGCTCAGGACAACTGTGAAGACCATCCTCACCTAGGCATAAGGGACCAGAGGGGCAAAGTTATTTAACATTTTCCTCTCTCAAAAAATGAACATATGCTTCTTCTTCAGAGGCAATTTCTAGAAAAATGGGCTGTGGGTAGGGGAGAAAATGAAGCCAGCCAAGTGTAGATAATGAGGCCAAGTAGAAGCAGTAAAGTTCTGTCGGGGGCAGGGGAGGCGGGAGCCAGGGACCACAGGCAGCAGGTCCCACAGTCATGTGGTGGGACAAGTCTCTGCCATGGCCTTACGTGATGGTCTTGTTCTCATTCTCTCATGATCATTGGCGCCCTTTCTTTAATCTCAGATACACCAAGAGTGGAAAAAAATCAGAAAGGTAAGGAGCAGTGAATTCACATTTGCAGTTAGCAAGCAAACTCTAGAAATAAATGTAGACTGCTACAGGTCTCATTGAGGAACTTCAGACATACAGATAATCAGCTGAGTTTCTTTATATACAACTGGAAGAAAAATAGCAAAGACCAAGGACCTCAAAAGGGGTTGACTTCATTTTTTTTTTTTTTTAAGAAATTGTAGTGGTTTATTTTGGGGATTGGGAATTTTTAAAACCATTATTTCATTGGCAGTAAAACAACCTGAACAATTCCATGTGTTCTCTCTCTCTCTTTTTCTCTTCTTTTGAGACAATGGCTTGCTGTGTGATTCAGGCTGGCCTTGAATTCATTATGTAACCTAGGCTGGCCTCTAATTCACAGTGATCCTCCTCCTGCTTCAGCCTCCCAAATTCTGGGATTACAAGTGTATACCACTGATCCCAGCTGCTATCTTTTTTAAACAGATATTTTAGCCAGGCATGGTAAGGCACAGCTGCCTATAATCCCAGCTTCTGGAGCCAGAGGCAGGAGGATTGTAGTGAGTTTGAGGCCAGGCTGGGCTCCATAATGAATTCAAGGCCAGTCTGAATTGCCTAACTAATGAAACCCTATCTTGAAAAACAAGAGAAAACAAATACAGTAAAATAAAAATAAATAGCAAGCTTTGGCATCCCTGACAATCGTGCTTAAAACAGATTCATTTCAAAACAGGTTAATAGATCATATGCCAAATGACCATCATTTGGCCACTTTCATGTTCATTAGCTGATCTGTATAGGTTTCCATCTTCTGCCCAACCTCTCAAACATGTTCATAAAATGAGGATTTCAAAGGCCATCCCATGCAGGGTATATCTGTGAATTAAAGTCATATCAGACACATTTAGTTATGCATTGTTGGTTTCCTGTCTTTGACGAGCAGCGCCCCATTGTCCTTAGGGAAATTACTTTTTCCCCATTGGAAGTAATCTTGGGCCCTGCCCTCCCATAACTCCTATTAAACCAGTCAGACCATCTCCTGGGAGCCTAGGTCTGGGAGCTCAAGAGCAGAAAGTGGACTTCAAGGGTAGTTCATGCAGACAGCAGCACTGAAAAGTTGACATTGGTGAGGCTCCTGATGAGGTCACCAGGTCCCTGGAGCTCTGGAACTGTCCTGCTTCCTGCCCCTATCAGTTGTACTTCCAGTCTTTTGAGCTATCCCATCTTCTTTCAAAAAAGAAACCTCCTCCACCTTTTTTTTTCTTCATAATCTAGAACCAGAGTTAATGACTTGCCACCAGATAGAGATTTCTGTGTCTTGAATATTTTAAGCCAAAGTAATATAGGTCAACTTTTATACCCTCTTTGAAGAGACTGGCTTTGCTCTGGCAAAACTAAGATAGCTTATTTTTTCTAAAAGACACTGTAATTTCCAGACATTTTACCCTGATCAGGCTATTTTCTCCTCCCCAAATGTTCTTCCACATTTCTGCTTCTGTCAGAACCTCGCCCTTACTAAAACTCAGAGTTTAAATGAAATTTTACATCTCACCTGCAGTAATGAACTCTCTTTCCTCCGAGCCCTGATAATACATGTTCATTTTGGCCACACTTCATACTATCTCCCTTACAAAAGCGTAAATCCCTTGAGGGCTGGGCAGCACCTTATCAACCTGAGACACCAACACCTTGCAGTAATGTGGTGAACAAATACTTGTTTTGATTATATAGCTTGCATTCTTGCTGTGCGAAATTTAGAAGGGGGTGTGAAAATGAATTGTCTTGAATTCTATTTCATATTTGAGTTTCAACAGCTGAGCTTCTCAGCTGGGCTTTAGGGGATCTATAAATCCCTGAACTTGTAGGCAAATGTTCTTTGAAGGTCTTTATATGCTCCCAGTAGTAGTTTCCTAAAGTCAAGGTCTAAACCTTTTATTAAATTCTCAGGGAGATCTCTGACCCATAAAAAGCCCAGAATGACTGGCTGCCTGCATGTCTGGAAGCAATTAGAGTGAACATTTATCACAGAAACTATGCTAGACCCATTTAGCTTAAATTATCTTGTTGTATCCTTTCAGCAACCTAATGCAATAGTCTTGTTATAAGTATAGTAATATCATTACTTACATTTATTTTGTGCTTTCTATGTGCCAGGCACTCTTCCAAGTATGTATGTTAATGAATTCACTTAATACTTCTTCAGATCTGATGAACTGCTAATACGTTTGATTCTTCCCATTCTATAGGTGATGACACCGGAGTGCAGAAAAATTATGTTAATTTAAATAGACTCAGGTAGTGACAGCATTCTGTTTCCCAACCCAACGGGTTGACTCTAGAGCTGGCCATCTTGGGCATTTTGTTGTTGCATCATAACTAACACATGGGGAAGTTGGGGTTTAAGTCTAGAGAATTTGCCTTCTGTACTGCTTCTCAATCTGGGTCAATTATTTCAGTAACTCACCAAGATTATACAGCTAGGAAGGGATAGAAGCCAAATCAAAACCTATATTTGTTTGATTCCAATGCTTACACCATTTCTACTTCGTCCTCTGTTATTGAATGTCCATTACTGGGCTCATTTCTTGAGGGCTGCTGCAGAAAGAGAAATTGTCTCCTTCTGTTATACAGTCCCAGAGACAAAAACCTGCATTACCAGGCCTTAAGCTTCATAAAAGCAAGGACTGGACTTTTTCATTATTGGCTTTGTACATAGTACCCATAGTCAGCACTCAATAAATGGTTTTGGTTTTATCAATATATTTATAAAAACAGAAATTCATTCCAAGACAGTTTATTTAGTGGGGAACTTTTGCAGGTATCCAGATGAGTATCATATAGGGGTCTTATAACCCATCTGGATGCAAAAAGAAGCTACTGGCATACAAAAGACAGTTTAAAAGCAATTTGAGATACTCTAGTCCTCACACTGACTCCCTGTGCCGAAAAGTCACACAGCTAATAGAGCAGCTGGGTTCAAATTTAGCTCGTGTGACTTGAGGATGGCCACTACTCTGTTCCACTTACGTTATGTGTCTCTGAATGAAAAGGTAAAGGTAAGTAAAAGAAGAGTGCTGGGATGGAGTCCTTCCAAGAAGAGGAAAATCTCAGTGTGTTGTGGACAGTTTGGATTTAATAGAAGGGTCTTGGATACTTCAGGTTTGTGAAAGAATGATCCACAGAAACATCATATGCAATCTGTGGAGAAATGTGATGATCTTGTCATTTTTTTTTCCATTTGAAGCTTTCTGCAACCCTGCAACCCTGCAAACAAGCACATCTTGAAGCGCTGTTTCCTATAGTGTGATTGTTTTGCTGTAATCTTCCTGTACTCTCTCACTGGATCTTTCTCATGATCAGTGACATGTGTGTAGAGACCCTTGATCCAGTCTCCTCTGGTCCCTGAAAGTTATTAAACTGGAGAGCCAGTAAGCTGGGGTAAGGGTGAATTTTTTTTTATTTAAAGAGAAAAAAAGAAAGGACATGAAAAAACAAAGCAGTAAAAGGGTACAAGTAATAGAGAATTTCAAGAAAAAAAATATACAGTAAGAAATCACCAGTTAATAGGTTACATATTATCTTCCCAGAAACAGTTGGTGAGGGTGAATTTATTGCTGAGTAATCTTAGTCACCAAAGACATCTTCCGAGTCCAGTAGGATTAAAGCAGAGTTGTGTCAGCACAACTGTCCTGGGGTGCTGTCTTGTTCATGGTAGGGTGTAGAGAGCACCGCTGCTCCCTCTAGGATGTTTAGGGGACCCACCAGGTGCCAGTCCCAGCCTGCCACATGTATAACAACCAATAGCCAACAGTGTCCCCCTCCAAATATTGCTAAATAGCCTCAGGGGTATGAGTGAGGGGATGGAACATTCCGGGTTAAGAACCTCTTGTACTAGGTAAGTTAGTGCATGCCTGTAATTCAGCACTTTGGGAATCTGAGGCAGGAGGATCACAAATTTGAGCCCAGCCTGGGCAACTTTGTGACTTAGCAGGATCCTGGCTCAAAAGAAGGTCTGGGGATATAGTTTCTTTTGAGCCATATATGGCTTTTGAGCTATGGATATGCTCATTGACAAGGACTCTGGGTTAAGTACTCCATACTGAAGAAAAGAAACACTTGTTTAGGGATACAAACACATATGTATACACATGTGCGCACACACATAGCACAGTGCATAAGTCACCATGTCAGAGGGTTTTTTTGTTTTTCACTTTGGATTTTTCCTTTTGCTATCATAAATGTTTTTAGTTTTAGTTTTTATTTTTGCTTTTAATCTGAACACAAATCTTTGCTTCCATCTTGACTCCTATTTTGTAGCCCTGCCCATTTCATAAAATTCTTGCAGAGTATGAATATTAACACTATTAAACCCTAATGTGTGCTACACACACTGCTACATTCTCCACGTATTTTTAAAATTTAATTATCAAAATAAGAGGGAAGTCCTCTTATTCCCATTTTATAGTTGAAGAAATGAAAGCACAGAACACAAAGTGGCTACCTAGATTTCTGTTTCTGAGTGAGAGGGTTGGGCTTTGGACCCAGACTGTCTGAACCCTGGTTTGTGTTCATGTTCTATATACTGTTGTCATTATTTTAATATAATGGTCTGTGTTCATGTCATATATACTGTTGTCATTATTTTAATATAAACTCTACATCATTAATAATAGGTTCTTGATCTCAGAATTTAAAGGAATCTGTAAGTTCGTGATACATGATAATTATATTCTCCTGGGGGAACTTGATTACCTTTTATCCTCTTTCATCCAAAATTTTGGCAAAAGTGACAACATTTGGTCTGAGTCATACATTCCGGTGCACTGGAATCACATATGGTGCAGTTTATGCAAACATTAAGTGTGATTGCCAGACATACGAATGAGAGCCAGCGCTGACTGTGGCTCTTTGTGTTGTCACCCCCAGAGTGTCTCTATGTGTTCCCCTGCCAGTGGAACTACCGTCCCGATCACTGCATGTATGGGAGCAACTGCAAGGAGGCTGAGCGGGAGGGCGTGTCTGTCCTTCACGGGAACCGGGGCGTGTACCATGACGACAAGCAGCCAACCTTCAGAGCGCTCTATGAAGCCATTCGGGACGTAAGTGTGCCCTTGAGACCATTCTCACACGTGTGCTTACCAGCATGAACCAGTATGGATATTTTGAACATCAAGCCTTTTAAGACCAAATATTCCCAAAGCTATGAGCTATGCCAGTTTGCCCATCATCAGTCCCCTGTATCATCATCACTAGAGCCACTTAGCACCTAATTCTGTCCTACATTCATCATTTTTGGGTTTGTTCGCTTTGGTTTTGGCTTGGGTTTTTTTTTGTTTGTTTTTGTTTCTTTGAGACAGGGTCTCCCTGTGCAGCTCAAACTGGCATAGAGCTCACTTGGTAGCCCAGGCTGGTCTCAAATTTGCAAGGATCCTCCTACCTCAGCCTTCAGAGTGCTGGGATTACAGGTGTGAGCCACCAGGCCTGGCTTGGTTTTTGTTGTTGTTGTTGTTTTGCTTGGTACCAGAGATTGAAGTCATGACCTCACACTTGCCAGGCAGGCACTTGTACTGCTGAGCTAAATCGTTAAATCCCTGGCCCCTGGTTTTTTATTTTGGAAACAGGGTCTTGTTACCTAGTCCAGACCATTCTTGACTTCACAAGGAGAACAATTTAATATAGGACACCTAATTTATAGGATTATTTATAATAGTCATCCAAAGAGTCAAAGAGAAAAGAGTGCAGGAAATCTGTCTCCACACTGGAGACTCAAAGAATTCAGCTAAGGGCCTAGATCCCATGACAGTGTCCTGTATGAGTCCAGCTGAAAACCTAAAGCCCGTGACAATGTCTCATGCAAGTATGTTTCATAGTTCTGCTCTGGTGGAAACTAGATAGTTTGTACCAGCAGTATGAAGGGTCTGTGTCAGCAGGCTGAAGGGTCTGTACTGAGGCCAGGAAGCAATGTTCAAAGTAAAGACCAAAGCTCCCCTGAAAAGCATCACAGCCATCCTCAGGGATAGCAGAATCCCAAGCTCCTCCAAGGATGAGAGCAGCCAAGTTCATATCAGGGAAGTCAGCACAACAGGGGCCTCCAGAGAACCAGTAGTACCTACTTCTTCCTCTCCAGTTCACCTTTTATGTTACTGGCAACAATCCTCAGGTGTGCCCTACACGCCCCGCACCATGCCAATTCAGTTCAGCTGGGCATTACAAGTTGACCACCAGCTATCAGTCCACCACATATTCCTTCTAGCTCAGCTTTCCAAGTGTTGGGATTATAAGCACATGCCACCATCTCCAGTGTAAATCCACTCAATATTTTCATACCAACCTCTCATTTTTTATCAAATAGGAGGAAATCTCATATCAGAAAGAGAACAGTATCATTTGCCACAGTAGAATCAAGCACAATAAAAACAAAAAGAGATTATTCTGTTCAAGCTAACGATGTTGCCTGGTTGCCAGCTTCCAAACCCTTGAGATATCAGGTGTCAAGGTGGCCAATTAGAACAAGAAGCCAGATGGAAATTAGTGATCAAGTCTTTATCTGTGTAACTGCAACAGTGCAGCATGAGACAAAAAGAAACTCTGCTCCACAGTTTGATCAGTTAAGGTTCACTAGAGGAAAAGAGTGTATGTGTGTGTGTGTGTGTGTGTGTATGTATACACATTATTTTATATGTTTTAAAAATATATATATTATAAATATATTTACATGTGTAGTACATATTTTTATGTATGTATGAATAGATAGATAGATAAATAATTTTACAAGGCAGCCTTTCACTGGCCGCCTGCAGAGTTAGTGTGGAAGAATGCAAAAGGGCCATCTGCACACTGAAGACACAGAGGATCTATCAAATGTTGAAGACCTGGTACTCCTGTATTTATGAGGGAAGCCAAAGGGTCTAAACTGGAAGGCTGAAGAGCCTGTGCTGGAAGCCTGGAGATGGACATCCAAAGGCAGTGGTGAAGACTGGACTCCTCTAAAGAAGCAGAAGTGAAACTTCCTTTCTTATTCCAACCAGGCTACAAGCCTATTGGCTGATACCACCTGTACCCGGGGTAAATCTTCCATCATCAGTCAGTCATCCAGACTCACCCAGAACTGTGTTAAACCAATCTGCTAGTCATTTCTTATTCAAACTGACACCACAGTTAAGTATCACACCAGTATTCCAGGATCTCCCTTCAATGGAATACTGGTGAGGTCAAGTGCATGCAGCACAGACTGTGGGAATCTTCTTACTGACAAGGAGCCCCAAACAAAAGACTACACGGCATCTTTATGGACCCATGGGATAAGGCTGGGGTTGGAGGAGGCTAAAGGGATAGGAGGAGAAAAGTACTGAGTTAAAGTGCAGAAAAGTACTTCCAGATGTAGAAACCTGGGCTAGAAGTGCAGATCTGTGTTTGATGGTGGCTGGTGTGGGGCAGAGGCCTATGTCCTCATTTGCAACTCTCTTGAAAAAACTGCAGTACACTGGCTAGCCACCAAATCTGACCTCAAAGGGCAGCTTCAAGGCCTTCCAGACAAGGCCTATAATAGTTTATTGTTGGATCTGGGAAATAAAATACAGTGGTACCCTCTTACCCATGTTTTGCTTTCTATAGTTTCAATTAGCATGCCCAACCATGGCCCAAAATAGTAAATGGAAAATTCCAGAAGTAAATATATAATGAGTTTTAAATTTATGCTCCTCTGAGTAGCTTGATGAAATCTCACCCCAGCCATTCTGTCCAGCCCAAGATGCCAACCATTCCTTTGTCACGTATATCCACAGCATATATTTACTTGCCTCTCAGTCATTCAAGTAGGATTTGTTTCTGTCCATGGTTTCAGGCATCCACTAGGAGTCTGGAAATGTATCCCCCACAGATGGAGAAAGGCTGTTGTATAAACTTTTGGCATTGAGTGGGGCCTCTCAGAACGTGGGCCACCCTTACTTCTTTGAAGAAACGGACCTGCAAGTGTTAAGGAGGAGTTAGAGACATATGTGAAATATCTTCTTGCCATAAATAGGAAGTGAAAGAACTTTACTTTGGTTTACCACCTAAAGTCATGTCAAGTGCTACCTCTGAAGCTTTGCCTCCCACACTTACAGCAGCATTTCTCTTTCCCTTAAGATGCTGAGAGAAGATGAAGAGCAGGCACTTTCACTGATTACTCTCTTCAAATTGTAATTCCAAGACATAGACGTAAATGTTTTTTATATTTTTAAGTCGGAAAAAATTAAAAGAAGAAGGCCAGGGATTTGGGTCAGCGGCATAAGTGCCTGCCTGGCAAGTATGAGGTCATGAGTTCAATCCCCGGTACAAAAAATAAATAAATAAATAAATATAAGAGTAATATTTTATGACATGAGAAAAGGATATAAATACAAATTTCTGCATTCATAAGTGAAGTCATATTAGAACATGATGGGACACATTTATTCATGTGTTCTTTGTGGCTGCTTTGGTGCTGCAATAGTAGAGATGATTGATTATGGTAGTGTCTAGAGGGCTCACAAAGTCTAACACACTGTACTTAGACTGGCTCCCTTTATGGAAAAAGTTTGCAAATCTCTAACATAAAGTATTGGCTTCATTAGAGACTTTTTTTCTTAAGGACCTAGGGGTTTCACAGGGAGGGTTGTCCTGAGTGAGGCGTGGGGTGAATACCTTGGTTACTAATACATTTTTTGTGTACATTTTGCTAGGGAGAGTCCCAGGGGATTCCAGCTCTGGAAATCCCAGGGTTGTCTTTTGTTCAGGTAAAGAACAAAGTACACATCTATGCTAACAGTTCTTTCTTCTCTTGTATTTCCCACTGTTTGATTTTCAAAGGCTAGATGGTTAAATTGCATAGAAAATGTGTTCTGTACTCAGTGGTATTCTTACATTTAAATATTAAAACAGTGACTCTAGGGGAAATCCATTCAGGCCTACAGGGGGAGGGTAAGTAAATGTGTAGCAGCTGTGAGTGTGTCAAACACTCTCTGTTTTCTTTTGTAATGTGTCAGCCCTAGTTTGGAATTGAGCAATTGTGGGTCTTGAGATACAACTCATCTTGTTTTCTGTGGGATCAGAAAGAGGGTCAAATAACTTTGTGTGTGTATGTTTATGTGTGTGATTCTGCTTAATCAGTGTTCCTCAGATCAACCTAAAAAGATCTTTTTCATTCAGGCCTTTCAATCAGGAAAATCGCTATTCCAAAACTGAAATATGAGTGAATACAAAAAGATTCATCACAAAATGTTTCCCCGCCTTTTACAGTCCTGTGACCCGTGGTGTAGCCGTCAGAGCCTGGCTGTGGGCCTAGACGCCTTCACTTCAAATCCCATTTTCTTGAAATGAAACGTGAAAGAATGTGCTGGTGGGGGAAGGCAGATGGTACTCATAAACAAAGAACAACAAAAATCCCTCCAGATAGTGAAAGATATTAAGGAGGAGTGAGATGAGCCAAGGGGTGGATGCAGAGTCTTGGGATTGCCAGGAGAGCTCATGTCCCTATATTGAGGGCCATCAAGAAAGACCTCTGGAGGTTTAGGACTTAGGCAGAGGTAGCCATTGAGGAAACCCAAGAAGATCATGGAAGCAGAAGAAATAACTCCTCAGAAAGTTCTTGAGGAGGGATGAATTTGTCGTGTCTAAAGCACTTGGTGGAGACCACCATGACTGGAATGGCTGGCTAGGTAAGAAGAAAAGAGGGGAACCTTCTGGGTCGCTTTAGCCTTCAAAACAAGGAAAGAGTTGAACAAATGAGAGGGAGTGACAAGCTCTGGTTTATGCTTGAAAAATATTCCCTTTATAACTTGGCAGAAGTGGTGCAAGAGGGGGTTTGCTAGACTAATTGCAGCGGTGCTGGTGGAGATGGGCTGGGAAGAGGAGAGAGAAGCAAGTTCTGGGAAGGCAGTCGCAGAGTTTCCAAGGCTTGCTCATGGGCTGGGGATAGGAGAGCAAAGGAGTTGGCTGCGTGCTTTCCACTCATTGCATTCCATTTATTGGGGGCATAGTGGTGAAAATGACAGATTTCAGCCTGGTTTGAGTGGGTGAGGGGTGGGGTGAGGTTATGAATGGTAGATTGTGCTAGAAAAGAAAAAGTGTCCCAGTCCTAATCAGGAGACAGAACTTTCTTGAGTCATACATAATCTCTGGGAAGAAATTTGCATTTCTGTTAAACTTCCTGAAATGATTGATGACCTTTAAAGGCCCTAAAATTTACACTAGGAAATCAGATACCCACCCACTCTGCTCTCAGGCTATTGTATGTCCTGCTTTTTAACTATTGTTTTTTCTTTTTCCTCTCTGGTCTTTCCTTGTAAAATGTCTTTGCCAAGAATAAAATCTTTGACTTCATGTCCTAGTGGCTTTTCCCCAAAATATGATAAATTTTGACATGTGCTCATGACTAAATAGTACAAGGAATTTGTCTTGGAAAATATGCCTCATAGATGTAGCCCATGAGAAAGCAGGATTAAAACAAAAACACCACAAATGTCCAATGCTAGGAGGAAGGAGGCAGCAAGCTAGATTTGAAAGTACACACTTACAATCCTAGTCCTCAGGGAAGCTATTGCAGGAAGATCATCGTGAGTTTGAGGCCAGGCTGAACTAAATAATAAGACCTGTCTCAAAATAAAACATAACAAAAATTGGCACCAGAATTACTAAAATAAAATTCTTTGCCAGTCAGGCATGGTGGTGCATGCTTGTAATCCCAGCACTTGGGAGGCTGAGGCAGAAGGATTGGTAGAAGTTGGAGACCAGCCTGGGCTGAAAGAGTGTTCAACGCCAGCTCGAACTGCATAGAGAGACCCTGTCTCAAAAAAAAAAAAAAAAAAAAATCATTGCCAATGAATTTCACTAGCAATTGCTAAACTCTGGGCTTTGTGAGATAGTCATAGATGTACCCTAAAGGTGCTTCATAAAGATTGCCTCAGCAACAAAAAATAGGAAGAAGTCAATGTCAAGTGAGTGTTTACCTGAGTTTTGCTTCTGCTCAGCATAAACTTGTTTTGTATAGACTGTCTCCCCCTTAGAGATATCATTATTTTCAGATATTAAGAACTTTAACAACCCAACTACATCATCTTTCTCTTTTTTTTTTTTAATCGGTACCTGGGATGGAACTCATGACTGCCTCCTTGCAAGGCAGGTGCTCATGCTGCTGAGCTAAATCCCCAGCCCCTTTTTTGCGGCAGGGTTTCATTGTGTGGTTCAGGCTGACCTGGAACTCACTATGTAGCTTAGGCTGGCTTTGAACTTACAGGGATCTTCCTGCCTCAGCCCCCCTAGTGCTGGGATTACAAATATACACCACTATGCCCAGCTTCATCTTTGTTTATTTTCTTTCTTTTCTTTTCTTTTCTTTTTTTTTAAGTGGTAAACAAATTTAGATCCAGAGAGGTTAAATTACTGTGTGAGGCTGTACTGCCCGGTGAAGATTTGAAGTTAGGTCCTTAGAAATCCTTTCATTAATGCATGCAAAACTGTGCCTACATGCTTTCAGTCAGCACTTGTGTTGTTAGTAAAAGTGATTCATGTTTTCAGTGGCATCTCAATGAGTAAAATAAACTTTCTAAAAATTTCTCTCTCTCTCTCTCTCTCTCTCTCTCTCTCTCTAATCATCATACAGTTTCCCTTTCAAGACAATCTCTTTCAATCCATGTATTACCCTCTCCAGCTGAAGTTTTTGGAAACTGTGCACACTCTTTGTGGACGAATCCCACAGGTTTTTCTGAAGCAAATTGAGAAAACAATGAAAAGGGCCTATGAGAGGCACGTCATCGTCCACGTCGGCCCCAACTACATGCACTGAATATGTTGTCTTGTTGCAAGTCAATTAGACATCTCGTGACCAAGGAAACATTAATCTTTATGCAACCAGGATCTTTCTGTGTGAATATTTTATGGTGTTCATGAGTACTGACTGGTAAAATTTTGCTGAATTAGTTGCCCCTCGAAGAGAATGTTTTCCCTTCATTTTTTTCTAACTCTGTTTTGGAAAAAAAAATTAAAGAACCTATTTCACATTGCTCCAGCAGGATATGCTCACAATGAAAAGGAAGCTTTGAGAGCTTTCCAACCTGTTCAGTGTTGGGACCCTTTCACCCGTACCCAGGGTGTTATATTTCTCCAGTACTCCTGAGGCTCTTTCCGTGCAACTCGCTCTCTCCCACCTTTGTTTTAAAATCAATACAAAGAGATCAGGGGCCAAAGTCAAGATTAGGGCCATCATAATTCTACCAATCTGTGGAAAAGATTATTACCATTTTACTGTATTTCCTTTCACCCCCACATCTTTTTTTCCTACCTTCTGTATCTCCTATTATAACACATACTAAAAACAGGCAGTCTCAGTAAAAGTATGCCTCAACACTGAGATTTTTTCTTACGTAGAAGATTAAAAAGCTTGACAAGATCATTATGTTTATGTTTATCTGGGACAAGCATTCAAATTTCAGCTAATTGGACAGTGTTAAAAGATAAAGCATGTATCTGAGGGCATTTCTCACGAAAATTGTTTAAATTCACGGAGGACTATTTCAGCAGAAGTTGCTATACAACAATAACATCTGAAAGAAAATTTCAATAATTTTATCAAATCCAAGAAATTTCTTTAGCAAAGAGATATGATTTTATGTTTGTCCTGACACAAAAACACTTGATCTCTTAAGTCCTTGCTATGAGTGATCATTTCTCTCCTTTAGTAAATGTGCTGCCAAAAGGAGAACTCATTTCTCTCCTTTGAATTCTTGGACAACAGGTCAAAAAATCTACAGACTAACGTCAGGTTTAATGTGTTCAAAGTAAATAGTACAGCTAATTCCATTGGCAAGAAACTTGAATTTCTTACCAGCCTGAGAAAGGTCTTTTTCCTCTAGGAGCTGTTAGCAAAGAAACATTGCAGGGCTTATCACCTAGGACAGTAGAGGAAGTTCTATATTCTATTCCCCAAAGGGTCTTGACTTAATCCCTAGTTACTCAGAAGGTTGGTACAGCATAGGGGCATTTTGCATATTTTATTTATCTTAAATTACTTTTGCATAAATGACCTCTTTCATATTTCTGACAGCCTAGTGAACTTAGCAGGGGTCTATGTCATCTCCATTAGGTAAACAAGGAAATTGTAACACAAGAATTGAACATACTCTACCATTGCCTGCCTCTTTCTTTCTTTCTTTCTTTCTTCTTATTCCTTCCTTCCTACCTTCCTTCCTTCCTTTCTCTTTGTTTTGTTTTTTTTTTTTTTTTTTGAAACAGGATCTTGTCATGTAGTTCAGGCTGGCCTTGAACTCACTATGGAGCCCAGACTGGCCTCAACCTTGTATGAATCCTCCTGCCTCAGTCTCCTGAGTACTGGAATTATAGGAGTATAATTGCTTTTTTATAAAGTCTGTGTGAGATGCATCCTATTTTACAGAAAATAAAAGTATTGAATATGTTTTATCATACATTAAAAGCAATCTGAAAGTATAAAATAAAAAGTACAATTTTGTTCTTGTAAATATATATACAGAATACAGTAGACTATCATAGGTGCTGTATTAAAGAAAATCTCTTACTCTGAGAAAAGTGCAGTGTATAAAAATCTGAGTGCTACATAGAAATGTATAAATATCAGCTAATGTTATTATGTGGCACAATTATGGTTATGACAAATTTAAATCTAAAATGTTAGGGTAATAGCCCATACTTTCCTTTTGATCACCTGGATGGCCTGTGTTTGGTTATTTTTGTTAATGAATCTATCATTATGATGTGAAATACTTACTTTGCTGTCATATTGTTTTCTCATTTCATACCAGTGACATCATCCATTATATCTTTTGTGGTAGACCTTGTGTCCATGGTATGTGCACAGAGGATACAGAGCAATTTTTAATTATCTTTTGTTGTGAGAAAATATATCTTACATATTCAAAAGTGGGGTTTTAGTGAAAGAGCCAGGATATGAGCATGGTTTTCTTTCCACCTGTCCATAATGGCCAGTGACCCACAAATGTTGCTCAGACATTCTGGCTGATTTAAAGAACTTCCTTTAATCCTTTGGTGAATTCAAAGACTTGGAGTCGGATTTAAGGACTTCAAATACAATTCCTTTTTTTTTTTTTTCCTTTTTTAAAATGAGAGCCAGGATTACTCACACTGAATATGCAGGCAAGGTTGCCAACAACTGATGATAGAACTCTGGAACATTCTAGAATGATAAATCATAAACCTGCTATGTCCTGAAACTTGAGGTGAGTTTGGTGGAAAATTTGCTTTACCAACGCCTTCTACATGGAAGTGCTAATTATTTTCTACATGAGTCATTGTTTTCCCTGCCTTGGGTATCTTCAGCAAACACCTTTAGAAGGTAACACCTTTGAGAAATGGGAGCCACAAATTTTAATTCAACTGACTTTTAAAACATGCAATTTGTGGTCTGAAGTTTGCCAGAGGTTGGCTGTATTACAACCTCAGATTGTGCATTGAATTTACGCGAGGAAAATGAGAGCTAGTTCTGTCCTGACCTACTGTCCTGCCCTCCTCTCATTTTCCCTCTCTTACTCTCCCTAACCTCCTCCCTTTTGTCTCTCTCTCCTCTCATTTTCATTTGGTCTAAGATTTTGTTTCACCCGTACAACTATGGAGCGCCATTGGAAGATGAAAGAAGTTTCTAATAGCAAAATGTGCTGGTAATTTTGTACACATGGAGGTTGAAACTTCCAACAGTAGAGCCACTAGAAGTGCTGATAGCTTTTTAAGTCTCTCTCTAATACAAATCTGAGAAATTGTGTGACTTCCATTGAAAATGATAATATTTAAAAAATAAATGCCTACAAAATTGCCCTGAGTTTTTCTTCTACTTCCAAAATGACAACTTAGCATTTGGGGCCTAATACTGTAAGAATTACTATTTATATGAAATTGTTTCATAGTCATCCCTTCTATCTCAAACTGATTTGACTTTTGCTGAATTTGATACTGAAATGAGTATTTACTTGGACTCAGGGAGGTTGAAGAGGATTTTCTTTTATTGTGACAATAACGTAAGCAAAAATAAGCAAGCCAAATAACACCAAGCTATTTGTATTATAATTTACAGTGATCGATTACCAAATAATGATTGAGTAACTGAATGATCATTTTGATCTACCCTGCAAACAGGACAGCATTCATTCAAATTTAGGTTTATGTTTAAATATTGCCTGATATTTATATATAAAAGACAAATGGCATGTATTTGGCAAATCAATGTAAACATGATGTCAGGACCAAACTCAGAAATATATTGAATTCAGAAATATGTTGAGTTTCCTGCAAATACACATTATCTCCTTTTTATTAGAATGGCAGGCAACTTTTTTCATGTCTGTCTATTTTTCTTCTGTTTTTTCATATTCCCCTTTCATTTCCACCTTTCTCTTTCTGTTTACAATGCAAGCTCCAGTGACAGTGATACAACATGGAGAATCCCTGGGGAGCCAGATCTAATTTCTGTTATTTAGATCAGATCTTTCATGATGAGTATTTTAGAAGTTTAAAAAAACAATCAACATAGTACATACATACACACCATATTCCTATTAAAAGATGAACCAGCCTGGACTACAAAGTAAGCTCAAGGCCACCCTGAACTGTAGTGAGACCTGTCTCAAAAAGACGAAAAATAAATAAATTTTTTAAAAAGTTGGACAAATGTTTGTCATGCCTGTAACTGAGTTATAGTCAAACTTTAAGTCAAATCATTGCATAATTGTGTTGTTTGTATTTAAAGCTGGAGCATTCTTTGCTAGAGACACAGTTTTGTCCTAGTTTTTATTTTTCACAGGTCAAAACTAGAAAAATTCTCTTGAGTCTTCAAGATAAAGCACTTATGTTTGTATCAGCATATGCGTGAACATGTAAGAATCAGGTGCAGTTTCTGCTTCATCAGGTTTACATGTTTATGTTGTCACTGAAAAACTGTACCCATGTTTATAGCTCCCAAGGAGACCCTTACTGCATTTTTTATGTTGGAAAACTTTATTTTTGTGATTTTTGTTAGCAAAAACATAAGCATCAAAAAGAATACTCCAAAGAATGAGTTACTACCGCAAATGAAATGAAACTCAAGTATGATTTAATTACTGTGTTGTCTTTTTAAATGTCACTTCCTGTTTTACCTTTTGTCTTTTTTTTTAATTAAAAGCTTTAAATATGTGTCTTTTGGTGGTGTTCTGGAATCATGTATTTTTTTTCTTTGTAAGATTTCAAGTTTAAAAAATTATAATGTGACATTGTGATATTTAAACCTGACAAGTGAATAAATATTTAGTTAAGTAGCTTAGTCTATTTTTTAAAAATCATTAAAGTTTTGCTTTGTTCCTAAAATTACTATGCTTTAAAGTTTATGTTATTTGGCTTTAATGGTGTTTTGTGTTTGAGATAAAAAGTTTGAAGAATATGAAAATGTGTCCTCCCCATTCCTGCATTATGTTTAATAAAATTAAGCCTGACTTGTTAGCTAGTATACTTTCAAAACTACCTAAACTGTGCCAAGACTTTTGAATTGATATAAATGTTTCTTCCCAAAATCCCAAGTCCAGTGATGGCAAACCTGTGACATGCTGTGGTGGGCTATATGTTATCACTGAAAGCTCTAAAGAGTTTGCCTTCTCTGCCCTAATCTTTTCTTTAAATCAGAACAAGTCACTCAATTCATCTACAGTGTTTCCTCCTATACGATTAAAACAAAAACTTTAAATGCAAAGGTATTTGAAAATGGATTTCTAGAATAACTGGTCCCACCTCAGATTATTGTGGAGGTGTATATAAGGTACTGCATCCATTTGGACAAAACCAACCTTAAATCCTAGTTGTACTGTGTTCTAAGAGTGTGAGACCCAGGCTACCTTTCCAGACCCTTTTGGACTGCTGGAATAAGGCTGATGATGACCCTTTCCATAGACAGACATGAGGAATAAATCAAATGACATTATGAAGTGTTTGACATGTGGTAAATGCGCAATATACTCACTAGTGTCCGACCTGTTGGCTTACTTGGGCTGCACCGAATGAAGAGGAATTGTCTTGAGCTGCATATAAAATATATTTTTTAGTTAACATATATGAATAAACTGTTTCACATTTTATTATAGCATTTTAAAAATACAAGTCCAAGATTAAGCATTTAAAAAGAAAACACACATCTACTCCATAACAATAAATGCCATTCACTTACAGATGCACACACATGGAGGTAGGTTAAAATGCTATCATCAGCAATCACTGCGTTTTACTCACCACCTGCACTAGTGTCTGATACATGAGGAGCCTGGCTAAATGTGTGGGGCAGGCTCGGAAAGCCAAGTTAGCAGTGCACTGAGCCCTCCCCACACAGCACTCTGTTGTCTCTATGGTCCGTGCTTGAGCCCTGCACAATCGAGTCATGAAAAAAATTCACTGAATATCACATGATGATGTTAAAAGTGTTGGATGTGGGGCTGCACCACCAGCTGTCCAGGGATACATGTCACTTGTTGCTTGAGCATGCCTATGTTCCTACTACAGGAACCTGTCTGCTATGCTGGGAAGCTGTGATACAGTGAAACCTGTTGGCTTGGACCAGTCCAGATCCCACAAATGCTGGTCCTGTCGTGGCTGGTAACCTCCAGAATAGTAGAGAATCTGTTTTTCCTTGTGTTTGAGTTCAGATTAAATATTCTCCAAAATTCATTTCAGTTCTACAGTGAGGGTAAAATGTTTAGGAGATTAAAAAATAAAAGAAGTTTGGTTCTAAGAATGTAGGAGAATGTCACATATACTAGTCCTTAATATCTATTCCATGATTGTTTTCTTAAGACTGTATTTTGAAGTAAGGAAATTTGCCTTTGTAACTTTATAGTGATACATATGAAGGAGAATAATGAATATTGAATACTGGCTAAATTAATTTTTTTTCTTTTTTCTTTCTTTTTTTTTGAGTCAGAATATCTTTATATAGTTCAAACTGACCTCAAACTCATTTTACAGCTTAAGATGTCCGCAAATTCACAGTGATCTTCCTGCCTCAACATCCCTAGTGCTGAGATTACATGCATGTACTGCCTCCCCTGGCCAGATTCACTTGTAGATGTCTAGAAAACCTCCTTTCCACCTCCTTGACCACATCTTGAATTATTGTCTGAGCTCACATCCGCCACAATTCACTGATTTCCATATATTCTGGTTTCTTTTTGTTCTCTTCCCTGATGAAATGAAGCTGTTTCATACAACGGGGCTTTGCACATCTCTGCAATGGTTCACCTCACCATTTACTTTCTTCTGCCTAGCAAATGTCTACTCTGTGTTAGGTCCCAATGTAAATGTCATTCATTTCCTTATGGATGCCTCCTCTGGCCCACCTTCTGAGGGCAGGTCTTCCTCTTATATTTGTTTGTACGTGTCTCCCTGCACTTACTTTTGGAGGTACTATCTATTGAAACATTATTTATTTATATAAAACTTTTTAAGTCCATTGGTTACCTTCCCCAGTATACACAAAGTTCCTTCGGGGTACAGTCGTCATCTTTTTGAAAAGATTTTGGCCCAGACGGGACACAGTAGCTGGTAAAGCCTTGGAGGCTGAACCAAGAAGCTCTATCTTGAGGTTATCTTCCCTGCCCCTAGGAATTCACCTGTGGCGCGAAATGAATACCAATTGGTTACCTGTGCATCATTAATGCCCCTTAGGCACCACCCCAAACCTAAGCTACATGTATGCCCCCACTCCACGTGTCCGACAGAATGCCAGCCCCCGGCGACCCCGGAGGGTCAGGGGGTCTCTCCCCACATTCTTAAAATAAAGGTCATTTATATTTCATACTTCTTATCTTTTCAGCCACACCAGAATTCCATCGCTTTTATTCTCTGCTCTACACTTCAAAGCTTCAATGACTAACATTTTTAATTTTCAGGGAATATTTAAGGAATGTATGTCTTAGTTACTTTTTACTCATCGCTGAGACAAAATACCTGAAGCCCAAGTTGGGAAAGGAAAGGTTTATTTCTTACAGTTTTGGGAGGTTTCAGTCCACACTCAGTTGGATCCAAGGCAGGCGGGCATGGCTGGGCCACAGTTCATGGTGGCTGCAAAAAGCAAGCAGGAACCAGCAAAGAGCAAGACACACCTTCTTCCTGCCATTACATCACATCCTGGCTCCACCCCTTTGTGAGTGGAGCACTGACACCATCAATCCAAGCACTAGACAATGAATCATCACAAATGCACAATGCAAACTCATGAGGCCTGGGGACCACAGACATAAACCATAACAATGTATAAATGAAATGATTCAACTGCATCCCAAACTAGGACCAGTGCTTATCAGTGAAGCTTCATAACAGAATATACTGATCTTGAGTATTCCTGAAAACTATTTTTCCTGTAAATGGTGTTACTAAGCTCTAACAGCATATCCTATGCAGTTTCATTTATGGAAAGTATAATGAGTCACTTAATTTCTTAGAGATTTATTTATTTACCCATGGCTGGGTCAGATGATATTTAAGTTCTTCTGTGTTTAAACACTATTTCCACAATCTGTTCTTTATGGCTCTGTGGTGGATATTGTTGGGAATTCGGCTGCCTGGAAACCACTGTACTCTTGGTACCAATTACTACAGCTTAAACTGCCTAAATTATGATAACAACACAGATCAGCTAGTGTAGGGGGAAAAAGGGGGACTGACTCATGAGTGAAAAGTCCAGAAATAGTTCTGGATTCAAAGGCTCAGATGATGGAAAGGGAAAGTATCATTTTAATAAAATTTTTTCATGATTGTTTTAGTCTTTTTTGAGACAGGGTCTCACTCTGTAGTTCAGGCTGGTCTCAAACTCCCAGCCATCCTCCTGTCTCAGCCTCCCTCCCAAGTGCTAGGATTACAGGCATGTACCACCATGCCTGGCTATGAATGTTTTATTTAAAACTATACATTCTTCTATTCTAGCTATTAAAATCCCATGTCATTTCAAAAGAATCATTACATCCTAGAAGAAATACATTGTCTCCATGTTTAGATGAAAAACTGTATTGCCAATTGGGTCAAAGCAGCAAGAAAATTGCTCTCCTGGTGTTTGTTTTGAAACAACTATAATATATATTTTCTCTCTCGAGAAGTACCATCGACTTTTAAAAAGAAAGAAATAAAGACCTTAGTGGAAATAATTCAGCGATCTATATAAATGGAGGATTCGAGATTGTAAACATGATCTCTTGAAAGAGTCAGATCCACACTCCCATAGATTCCCAGAAATGATAGTCAAAATCATGAAGTTACATACTTCTATACTCAAAAAGGTTTGTTTGTTTCCTTGTTTCTTTATTTTGGTTGAGTTAGGGTCTCGCTATGTAGCCCAGACTGGATCTAAATTCATGGTGATCCTCCATCTTCCTGCCTAAACCTCCCAAGTGCTGGGATTACAGGTGTGCTCCACCACACCTAGTTTGAATAGAATTTATATCATGTATATAACATACAGATTGTGTCTGCCTACATGCCGACCAGTTAAGGTTAATCAAAACAGCAACACCTCCTTTTTTCATGATTGCTAATTTGGCTCAAATGACAAAGCAAATGTAAATGTCATATTAGGAAATTGGATTTTTCTTCATTTAAAGTGTCATTATTAGAAATGATTACAAGTACATAGAGTTAAAGGAAAATAAAAGGGTTGATATTCGCCTTGGTGTATTAGATTTTAAAATTCGATAGTTGCTGTATAATTCCAGCCCTAGGGAGGCTGAGGCTGGGGGATTGTTGTGAGATCGAGACCAGCCTGGGTACAAGTGAGCTCAAGGCCAGGCTGAACTGCATAAGGAAGACCCTGTCTCAAAAAGACCCAAAAAAAAAAAATCACTAGTTTTTATAAAATTTTCCTGATACTCTGAATGTGTGTCTGTTTATATAGGAGACAACAAAACTAAAAAGATGTGCTCTAAAAAGAGAATTTAGGAACTTAGAGTGCTGAGCAAAAAGGCACCATGCCTCCTTTCCTGGTAAGCGCACACCTCCTTTCGTGGTAAGCGGCTGCGGTGGGCGAGCCAGGAAGAGAACCAGTCAGCATTTCCGTGAGCCTACCAGGATGTGAGCTGAGAATCAAACATCCCATCCCCCAGATCTCTTGGGAGGATGACAGTATGCAACATAGCAAATATGGGGGATTTCCTTCTGTCTTCTCTTTGAAGGCCAACATTGTTTTCACTGTTTTGCTTTGTTCTGATTAATTGTTTTGCTCTATTCAATATTCTGTTTTGATAGGTTTTATAATGTTCTGTTTTTGGTGTGATTTTGCTATACCTGATTGAAAGGACAACTATTGTGAAGATAATGAGATACACTATGGTACTTGTTACTGTTATCCTGGTAACCTGCTGTGAAGTTTTATACCAATTTCACTTCATTGTCTCGATTGGCTTGTTCTGTTGTATTTTACTACTTTCAAAATAAAAAAAAGTAAAAAGAAAATAAAAAAGAATTTAGATGAAGTCAAGAATTAATTAAGAAAGTAGTTGGTTTGTTGCACTTTGGAGTCTATGCTGCTCAAATCTGCCATCTGTGTTTTTGGACTTTGCAACTTCCAGCATATAATGAATAGATGATCAGCATAGAATGTCCTTGCTTGTTATCTTAAGACATATTTCCAAGCACACCAGCTCCAGCTCTAATTCCCTGCTCCTTCCTCTCTGCCTGAAGGGTCTCATTTTCAATTGCAACATGCTTATGGGCAGGGTGAAAGCATTGGGAAATTCACACCTTTTCTGAGAGCAGCCCTCCACCACTGACTGTCTATACTTGGTAAATACACACCTCCGGTTCCTTTGCTGTCAGGTTCTGAATTGTGTCTCAGCATTCCCCAGTGGGAGGAAGCTCAAAGTGTCCTCATTAGCAACTCCCTGGACAGTGCCGTACATTCTTTGCTGGCCTCTTGCCTTGCCTGCCTCTCCTCCACACTGTGCTGCCAACATTTCCCTAGATTTGGATGGACCACTAGGAAGACGCATGTACCAGATCCTTATCTCATCGCCTGCTATTGGTAAAATTATGTGAGTAAAGATTGAATTTAAGTAATATGGCTATATTAGTTTCCTAATTATGAAGATAATTTTCCTCCTCCCCTTTCCGTGCCTTTCCCTCTGATTTCTCCTTCCTTGGATTTCTCCTCTTCATTTTGTTTTTTCAGTGCTAGGGATTGAATGCAGGGCCTCCCACATGCCAGGCATGTGCTGTACCACTGAGTTACATCTCAGCCCTCCTCCTTATTCTAAATGTTTCCATTTTGGAGAATCCAAATTTACTCCACACACAAAATATTGGGAAGCAGCATTCTTTTCATACTCTCTTATTTATTCTTCTCTCGACACTGGATTTTATTATTATTCTTTTACATATCCAACGTCTATAACATGTACCCTTCTATCTAAAGCAATTATTTCAACCATATTTTGAATAACAACATAGGTGATTTGTTTTCAGCCCAAAGAATCTCAAGTATTTTAAGGTCTAGTGTCCATTATTTTCCCCTTTAAGGCATATATATGTACATATACATGTATATGTACATATATATGTGAGTTTGGGGTGGGTGTTTTTCTTTTTGAGATAGTCAGGCTGGCTTTTAGCTCACTTTGTAGCCCAGGCTAGTCTCGAACTCACAACATCCCTCCTGCCTCAGCCTCCCAAGTACTGGGATTACAAGGGTGCACCACTGTGCCTGGATTTAAGATATATATTTTAAATGCATTGTGTTCTAGACTAGAGTGTCTTTTATTTCTTTACATAGCTCTGTGTTTAGCTACTTGTTAACATGTTCGTACAACTTTTGAAGACATAATTGAAATACAGTGCACTACCTAGAGCTCAAAGGTATGGTTAGATAATTTTTGGCTTATCTGAAACAATCTGCACATTAAAAATAAATATTCCTATCACCTACAAAAGGCTTTTTATATCAGTTTAAATTCATCCTTTTCATCTGTTCCCAGCTAACTCATAAACTGCTATTACTGTCCATGAGCTTTGCGTGTTATAAAATTCTACATAAGTGGAGTCACACACTACATGTTTTTTGACCTGGCTTCATATGTTATCCACACTGTTGCTTGTATCAATAGTTGTTTTTATTATTAGGTAATAAAGTTTTCCCATGGATTAGCTATTTCATTTTTTTTAACTTTTATTTACATTTATTTTATGCTTAATTTTCTCCTAGGCCATAAGTTTTTGTTGTTTCCTTTTCTTCTGGGATATCTTTTTCTGTTGTGCAACCTCCTGTTAGGTTCTCTGAGCAATAAAGGAGCAGAATATGAGAAAAAGTAAAAGTGGCCTCTTTATTTAAAGGATGTTGAATGGAGCCCACAACCAGCAAGGGTTTGGCTATTTCCTCTGACCAGATATGGGGGTGTGGGGGTATATGTGACCTTTGACTGGACGTGGTACTTGGGTGGGCACTGATGATGGGCCAGGAGCTGACTGGAATTTTCTTTGCGCAGGAGGGGAAAGGAAGAAGTTGTAATGGGGAAGGAGGAAGAAGTGGCCATCTGAGTAAGCATCCCTAATTTGGCCATCCACCATGTAGAACTACCACCATAATGTCCTATAATTTATTCCAGGACAAAACCCTTTCACCTTCTCCTCTGCTTTAGGAACAATTTGCTCCTTTTAGTCAGGATCATCTCACTGTGGCAAGGGCAGCTCATGATGAATTAACGTGTCTCTGAGCTCTGTAAATATGGCAGCACAGAGAGCTTTGTTCACCTGGATGTGTTCAAATCCAGAAAATTTACACCTAAAGCTTAAAGTTCAGCATGTCTCTGCATTTTTGAGCATGCGCAATGGAATTTCAGCATTCTTTCATAGTCATCAACTCTGCATCCAGCCCCACTTTTGACCAATTCCATGATGTAACACCAGAACGGCACATGCTGCTTTTTTAAAGTGACATCCTTCAGATTCTTGATGGCCTTTTGGATATGCATACCACTGATACCCTGGGAAGTTTTGTGAGTGTTCTTAAGATTTAAGTGTTCTTAAGTGTGCTTAAGATGCAAAGCAAGATTTGATATTCTTGCTTTGCATAATTTTATGGGATTTTTCTGGGTAAAGAGAACAAAGAAGCATTTTCAGAGA